TGTGTAATTTATAATGTGTTCTTTATTTGAATTATTTGATCAAATTAATTATGTTTCATATTTTGTTATGAATATTTTTATAAAATTTTAATATGTTTTTTTTTTTCGTTTATATCCAACAATATTTATGACTATATTTCGTAAGTGTTTCATTATTTTTCACACTATAATGTTTTGCCCCCACTCAAAAATTTTTCTGGGTCCGCCACTGATGACAGATATGGAAACTTCTTGCTCATTTGTTTTGTGTCTCAATTTGTTTGATTTCCACCCCCCCCCCCCCCCCCCCCCCCCCCTTTTGAAGGTTCTGATAAATGGCATAGTTAATTTTAACAAGGAATAAGGTTCAAATTGGCCACTGAACGTAACTTAAAAATGCAATTAGGCCACTGAACGAAAAAAAAAGAGAGCAATTACGCCACTGAACATTCTAAATGTATGTAATTTCACCTGATAGCAGGTTAACATCAATTTTAGCAGGTTACATGCTTACATGGCAGCTGAATTGCCATTTTTTAATAAATTTAAATAATTTATAAACATTAAAAAAAAATGAAACGACGGCAGCCACCCCGTCATTTTATTTTATTTTTTTTTTATTTTTAATTAATTTTTTTTTAATTTTTTAAAATTTATTAAAAATTATTAAAAATGTCAAATCAGCTGCCACGTAAGCAGGTAACTTGTTAAAATTATGGTAACTTGCTATCCGGTGAAATTGCATACATTTGGAGTGCTCAGTGACTTAATTGCACGTTTTTGGAGTGTTTACTGGCCTAATTACATTTTTTTTTCGTTCAGTGGCCTAATTGCACTTTTATGTTACGTTCGGTGGCCAATTTGAACCTTAATCCTTCTAACAATGAAGATAGTTTCTAAAGCATATTAATTACACCTTACAGTCTAATAAATTTTGTTACATTAAAGAAATAGATGTGTGGAATCTTTAAGTTGATTCCCTTAGACTAATATTTATAAAATTGGCCTCGTCATTTTTTAGCCATTGATCATCCTCCTAGATAGATGGACCAAATTATTGTTTCCCTAAAAAATTCTCTTCTACCAACTACATATATAGAATCGCTTATTTCTTAGCTTCTTTCAAATTCATCAATTTTTTGTCTCAATGGTCATTGTAATTTCATCCGAGAGTGCTACTACTTTTTTTAGATCGAAAGCATTATATATATATATATATATATATATATATATATATATATATATATAGATCAATGATGTTTCTACTTTTTTTTTTTGTGCTATTTTTTTGTTGGATAATAAATGTTAAATCTTAACATTGAATGTAGGTGTTTATATATATTTTGCCCACAAAAAATATAAATCGTTGGTACAAATTAAAGACCATCACATAGTCACATCCCAACCCGACATGATTGTAAAGAGGTAAATCATAGTGACTTAGTGATCTACTTATTAGGTGGGACGACAAGTGCTTAGTACCAACAAGGAGAGTCACCCTATACGGTGGTGAAATCCACACACTACGGCTGCCCGGACTCAGTCCTACTCCCTTGATCGTAATCTGTCACCCATAAACCAAGTGAACTATTATACTTGTGTGGGCCTATGTATCTGCCACCCAAAAACCAAATAAGTTACATGTCCGGACATGAGTTTATATCTTACAAATATACATGTATACTTTAAACAAAAATTTTTGTGCATTTATTCAGAATTATTTGACTTTTATTTAACGTCTTGCCTTGAATATAATATACTATTGGTTCATTGAGAGTTGAGATGGGTGCGGAAGTAAACCCTACGTGGTTAAATGGTGGCTATGTTGTCAGTACCTTAAGTGATGATCAAATTAATTAAAAATATTGAAGTAATCCATACTTCAATAACTTACAAGGTAATGTATGTATTTGAATATAATAGTAGGATAATAAAACTATGCAAATAAATATGGTAATGATAGCAAATATGATAATAGGGTATAAAAATTCTCAACGAGACACAACCTTAATCCTATTTCAAAGAGAAAATTTTTGAGATATGCATGGCGAAAACGAATTGGAAATCCGAAATTTAGCATAAATATTCAAAAGAAGATCTAGTACAACAATGGAGCATACAATATAACATAAGATCATACCTAGGTAGCTAAAGCTAGTCCCCTAGCTAATTTAATTCGTAGTACGCATTTCAACATGATGGCAGATATATTTTATGCATGAAAACACACTTGCCAACCTAGCTAGCTAGCTAGCTAAGTACGAAGGGAATGGCCAATGCCGGGGCTATGGCCAGGCGCTGTAGGCCGGAAGTCGTCAACGCGGCCTGGCGGCGGCGGGGGAGGGAAACGAGACGCCGCCGGTGCGGTCGGACCGGGAACTGATGGTTCTCCTAATAATGTTGCTGACTCAATGTTGTCAACCTCTATTTTAGGGATCTGTTTGTGAAGGGCGACAGGTTTTTTGGATGCCATTTTGCTCCCTGGCTTCATGTGTCTTCCCTCTGTGGGTAGAGGGAAATGAGAGAAAATGGTTACTACTAGGAGCAATAGGAAAGTTAGGGCTAGCTTAGTTTGAGCCATGAGAAGCAAGAAAAGATCAGAGTTGAGAGATGTTGGAGGCAAGGGAGGGATAGAGACTGAGTAATGTGGGATGCTTGTGTTCTCATTACCTTCCTCTACTTATATAGAACATGGTTGCCCTTAGGGCATAACGTGTTGGGCAAAGGATTGAGTCCAATGTCTTACCATCGGAATGTGAAGTTAACTATTATAAATAAATAGAGTTGGATATTTGTTATTGGCTATAACTTTTTGCGTTGTGACAAGTACTTACTCTTGACATAATTAACTGATGAAAAAATTATCAATTTTAGGTGATGGATATATTGAAAGTAACCCAAGAATGGACAATAGTTATGCTGTGCAACCGAATGTACCATGCGCATGGTGCATACGGTTCAAAACGACGTCGTTTTGATTAAAAACGCGCGTCCCACTTTAAAAAAAAAAAATCAAGTTCGACTCTCAGCAACAGCATTATTGTGGATATATAGTTATGAAATTGTGGTTATATAGTTATGAATTTATGGATATTTAGTTCATTCATTGTGGATATTTAGTTCAATCATATATTGTGGATATTTAGTTCATTCATTGTGGATTTTTACTTCATTCATTCATTCATTGTGGATTTTTACTTCATTCATTCATTCATTGTGGATTTTTACTTCATTTATTCACTGTGGATATATAGTTATGAAATTGTGGATATATAGTTATGAAATTGTGGTTATATAGTTATGAATTTATGGATATTTAGTTCATTCATTGTGGATATTTAGTTCAATCATATATTGTGGATATTTAGTTCATTCATTGTGGATTTTTACTTCATTCATTCATTCATTGTGGATTTTTACTTCATTCATTCATTCATTGTGGATTTTTACTTCATTCATTCACTGTGGATATATAGTTGTGAAATTGTGGATACATAGTTATGAAATTGTGGTTATATAGTTATGAATTTCTGGATATATAAAAATGCTATTGCCGGGAATCGAACCTAATTTCTTCTTTAAGTGGGACGCGCGTTTTTTTTAACCAAAACGGCGCCGTTTTGCAACCATATGCACCTTGCAAGGTGCATTCGGTTGCACAGCATAATTTGCGAAGAATGGAACCCTGGGTCTGGGAGCTCTTAGCTCAAGGCTTAAGAAATGACCCGAATGCATGGCCCAAAAAGACAACCAGGAGCCGTTTACGAGTAGCTAACCATAATCGTTATACCGTGCACCAGGGCGCACATAGCAATGTGTACCCCCGCCTCTCAAAACGACGTTGTTTTGGTGCATTGTCTAAAAAAAATCTCTGTTTCGAATACACAGAAACTCATAACAGAATATACAGAAACTCATAACTGAATACACATAATCTAACATGATACATAATACACAGAAACTCTTAACTAAATACAGAAACTCTTAACTAAATGCACAGAAACTCTTAACTAAATACACAGAAACTCTTAACTGAATACACATCAACTCTTAACTAAATACACATCAACTCTTAACTAAACACAAAGAAACTCTTAACTGAATACACAGAAACTCATAACACAATACACAAAAACTTTTAAATGAATACACATAATGGGTTTTGGCCGTTTGGACGGATGGAGTGATGTCAGCAATTGAAACGCGCGCGTTTTGTGCCTGGGCGCACGATATAAATTGCCATACCCTTCCCGCCTCAGGGTGTCTCTAGGTCTGGAATGGTGGGCTTTGACTGGATCATACAGCACACCCCGTGGGCCTTGACCCAGTCCCGTGGTCCATCACATTTTTAACGATCGATTAACCATTTTTCTTGTATAAATGACCATTGTCTTGACCTAGACGAACTATATCTAAAATTACTACAAAGCATTCTTTATAATATTCTTACTAGAATCCACGAAATACTATTATTACAATATTTTCCCTTTACCATTGTATCCTTATTTATTGATTCATACATACCTTAAGTAAATTTGTTCCATCAATAGGATAGTGTTTTGATTCTTGTTAGTAAAACCGTAAAATGATCTGGAGTTACATTCCTTGTGGACATGGTTTAGTCAAAGTTCTTGGATCTTAATTCATTTAACCACGTGCACCTAACAATTTACCTCCATAAAGCCCTAGAAGCGGGACAGTAGAACCTTTCATGAATAGGGTTCAACCTTTACTTATAGAACAAAGTTTGGGTCAATTTAATACATGTCCTTTCAAATGTTAATATTATTGTTTTAATTTTGAGTTTAATATAGTATTTGTGCTAGCTAGCTAGTCTAATTTTTGGTATATTAAAAAGATTTGAAAATTAAACTTGAGATATTTGATCGTAGTTAGAATTGCAAATGATGCTATTATATTATTATTATATATAACATATCCTTGGCATGCTTGTTATACTCTACAATATATTATTAGTTATTCATAATCTTTTTTTTTTTTGAAAAGAGCCTGCGCGGCATTTATTGAAAGTATGCTGAAATAGTGTCTGGCGGACCATTGTCCGAGTACATCGGTGCTGAATAACTAAAGGCCGAAGTGGCTAAAATGTGTGCTAAACGATTATCTGATCTAGGAACATAATTAACTGAAACATAATTAAAGGAAACCATCCGGTTTCTGCAGGCATCAATGGCATAGCCGAGGTACGAACGTGGTGTACCCTTTGCTTGTGACAAGTACTGTTGTAGTGACAAACAATCCGTTAGTATGTCTACCGACCTCTCTCCACGATCCCATAACCAAGATAGTACTTCCTTGCACGCAATTGCTTCTGCCATAAACGGGGAGAAACAGTTTACCAAAGGCGCCTGTAGAGCTGTGATATACAATCCCTGTTCGTCTAGTAGTATTGCCCCAACAGCGGCTTTACTTGTGGCATGGACAAAGGCTGCATCAATGTAGCATTTCTTCCGTGAGAGGGCAGCCGTGTGGATTGTGGGCGGTATGTGGGCATGCGGCAGTGCCGTTTCCTGCCGCTGCTCGGCAGTTGTCGTGGTGGATCCACGCTGAGCATGCAGGCGTTGCGGGCGGTCCGGGTGTGCAATTCGCCACGCCCGGATCGCTGCGGCTACGGTTGCAATTATCCTTTGTGGTCTGGGCAAGTATGCATCCCACACAGCTCCATTCCTTGCTCGCCATATATAGTATAGCAGGCCTACTGCATAAATAATTCCATCATCATCTAGAATATTTAATACTTCATTAAACCAAACATGAAAAATATCTGTGATAGTATTGGGGATTGGAAGGTGAGATTGTGCCCAAATGTTCCTTGTATAATCACATTCAACCAAAGAGTGCATAACATTCTCATGCATAATCCCACACATAGCACATGTTGGGCTAATCTCCACTCTCTTTATAATGAGGTTCGTTGTGGTGGGCAATATATTATTCAAGGCTCTCCATAAGAAAGTTTTCCATCTCGGGGGTACTTTGAGTTTCCATAATTTGGGCCATTTATCAAACATTCCTGTGGTGTGTACATAATCTCCCACCACTTGCCTGTAGCCGCTTTTTACCGAGTATTCTCCGGTTACATCACCATGCCAATACCACATATCCTCATAGTCTGGTGACACAGGTATTTTCAATATTCGCATCACATTCTCCGGAATAAAAATATCATTTAAAATTTCATGGTCCCAGGTCGCCGTCTCCTGGTCTATTAATCCCATCACAGTTGCCTGCGCCAAATATGGTGGTTTGTCAGTGATTATTTCCGCATTATTATCATCCTGGAGCCATGGATGCTCCCATATAAGAGTTTCTTTTCCATTCCCAATTCTGCGTCTGACACCCCCACAAACTAATTCCTATGCCGCCATAATACTACGCCAGCAGTAACTTGGATTATTCCCCACAGAAGCATCAAAGAAAGTCCCCTTAGGATAATACCTGGCTTTATATATTTTAGAAACTAGCGTTTCAGGTTTGGTGAGCAAACGCCAGGCCTGCTTTCCCAACATAGCTAAATTAAAGGCATGCAACTCCTTAAAGCCCAATCCTCCATATTTCTTGGGGATGCATAATTTATCCCATGCCTTCCAATGGATGCCCTGATCATCCTTAGCTCTCCACCAGTAACGATTCATAGCTCTCTCAATGGCCGTGCAAGTATTCAAAGGTAGTAAAAAGACACTCATAGAAAAGGTGGGCATAGACTGTGCCACACTTTTCAATAAGACCTCCTTACCTGCCTGTGAAAGCAGTTTTTTATTCCAGGACCCAATCTGCTGCCTGATCTTGTCATCAATGTAAGAGAATACTGCTCTCCTATTCCTGCCCACAAACGATGGAAGTCCTAAATACTTCCCAAAATTCGGCGCCTGAACCACTCCCAATATATCGGCAACCTCCCCTCTCTGCTCATCCCGCGTATTCTTACTATAGCAAATACTTGACTTATAGTAATTCACTGCTTGCCCAGACATTTCCTCATAAGCCGCTAAACACTGTTTTACCACACTGGCTTCCTGCGCTGTTGCTCTAAAAAAGAGTAAGCTATCATCTGCAAAAAACAAGTGGGATATAGGGGGGGCTCCCCTAGCTACTCTGCACCCATGTAGATCTCCTCTCAATTGTGCCTGCTGTAATAGCAATGAAAGTCCCTCCGCACAAATAATAAAGAGATAAGGTGATAGTGGGTCACCCTGTCTCAATCCACGGGTCGGCATGATCTGGTCACTACAAGTCCCACCAATCTGAATAGTATATGAAACTGAGGTCACACACAGCATTATCAAATCCACCCACCTTTCATCAAAACCCAATGCTAACATCATACTACGCAAGAATGGCCACTCCATTCGATCATAGGCTTTTGCCATATCCAGTTTCAAAGCCCCCCATCCTGTGATTCCACATTGTTTTCTGTTCAAAAAATGCCCCACCTCTGCAGCAATCAAAATATTATCCGTTATTAGCCTGTCAGAAATAAAAGCACTTTGGGTGTCAGATATAATATCTCCCATAAGTGGTTTCATCCTGGCAGTTATAACCTTAGCCATAATCCTGTACACCACGTTACTCAGTGCTATAGGTCTGTAATCCGAGACCATCTCTGGGGTTTTCTTCTTAGGGATCAATATTATATTCGTATCATTCAGGCGAGCTGGAAACGAGCGATTATTAAGACAATCCACAATATATGCTGATACATCACCACCCACTACATCCCAGAAGTGCTGGTAGAAACCTGGATTCATTCCATCCGGTCCTGGTGCTTTGTTAGGAAACATTGAAAACAGAGCACTCTTAACCTCACTAGCATCAAAGGGCCGCAATAACAACTCATTCTGAACCTGTGTTACCCGAGATGCTATATTTCTAAAGAAATCCCCACTATCACTTGGAGGGCCAGATGTAAAGATAGTCTTATAATAATTGTAGATAACATTCCTCATGGCATCACCCTCCACCCAATCCCCACTATCATTCATAACTTTTAAAATAGTATTCTTTTTCTTGCGATGAGATGCATACCTGTGGTAGTATTTTGTGTTAGCATCCGCGTTCTTAAGCCAATGCTGCTTGGCCCTCTGCCTCCAGTATGTATCCTCCTGGGCCTCAATACGACATAGGCACTCCTCCAAACGTTGGAACTCAGCTAAAGAGCTCGGATCATTACACCCCCTGAGGCGCAATTGCTCCTTCCGCAGGTTTCTGATCCGTTCCCCAAACTTATGAAAACGCTCTCCTCCCCAACGCGACAATCGATTTCCACAAATAGAGATACATTCCTGCAATCCCCTACCAGCACCTTCATCCCACGCCTTCTCCACCACATCCCTACATCCTTCATCATGCAGCCATGCCATCTCAAAACGGAACCCTCTTCTCAGACCACCCATCCTTTCCCGAAGATTCAGAATCCCAAGGAAAAGAGCGGAATGATCTGACTTTCGGGTCAATATATTTTGCACACTAGCATCCGGCACAATGTCACGCCAACTCTGACTAGTCAAAACCTTGTCCAATCTTTCTTCAATCCAATTCGGTGTGCCTTTTCCTTTTTCCCAGGTAAATGGATATCCCATCATTGGCATCTGTGCTAATCCACACTCCTCTATAGTCTCACCAAATCCATGCAATAAGCTCAGAGGATGGGGGTTTCCACCTCGTTTCTCAGCTTGATAAAGTAAATCATTAAAATCACCAATCATCACCCACGGTAGATTCGATTTGCCAGCTAAGGTACGAATAAGATCCCACGAATCTCTCCTTTGACCCCTCTGTGAAAAACCATAAAAGCCAGTCATTCTCCACTTCTCAAACCCCGGCATAGTCACCTCAACATCCACATAGTTTGTAGAGTAACTAATCAATCTCGCTGTATTATTCGTTCTCCACAATAGAGCCATTCCACCACTCAAACCAGAACTATTAGTACAAAAAAGGCCATCAAAACCAAGCTTAACCCGAAGACGCTCCGCATGATCACGATCAACCTTGGTTTCTATGAGAAATACAAAGTCGGGTTTCTTCGAGGACACCATGCCCTCAATCTCGCGAACTGTCTGTGGATTACCCAAGCCACGACAGTTCCAACTTATGGTACTCATTGGGACCGGCGGACCTGATCCACAGGTCCCGCCAAAAAAGATTCAGAATCAACAACCATGTCTCCATTCACAGCATTCACCTCCCCTCTGTCCGTCCTCCTCCTTTTGGGATCTACCCGAACTCCCACGCCCTCACCCCCAACGCCCTCACCGCCCATCCCCTCCACATCTCCAGCATCCGAACCCACCCCACCCGTGGCCGTAGCCCCCTCCACCCGAGACAGTCCACCCCTCCCAACCCCAGCAGCCACCGCCATTCCCCCTCCCTCACTCCCATAGCCAATCTCACGCCTCCTCTCTTGGCCTAGTTGAAACCATTTTTCCCCCAATGTCTTCGCCGGACCCGTACCCCCCGCCCTCATCGACACACCAAACGGATATTGTTCCGGTCGTAACAACGAACGGCGAGCTTGCAAGCAAAATTTATCCGTGTGGCCCATCTTTCCACAGAAAAAGCAAAACATGTGGAGGCGCTCATATTTAAAATTTATCCATGTCCAGGAACCATCTCTCAGAATCATCTTCATTCGTCGCTTTAGAGGATTTGAGACATCGTGGGTGACTCTAACCCTATAGAAGGAAGTCCATTGCCTCTCAAAATTTCGTTCATCATAGCGCAAGAAAACCCCAACATAATCCCCAATTCTCTCCAGCACTTTAGCCGTACGGTATCCCTGTGGAATGTCCGAAACCTGTACCCATAAGTCCACCGTATTCAGACTAACCTGTAACGGATCTTCACCCTCCTTCAGGACTTGGCATAGCAGCGTCGCATTCTCAAACGCCCAAGGTCCCTCATCGATAACCCGTCTCATGTCCGGTTCATCAAAGAAGGTAAACAAGAACAAATTGGCCTGCACATCCGTTATCTCAATGCCCATCAGAGGCTTCCATGCCGAAGCCATAACGCGTTTCATGACCTCGGTCTTGAGGTTCCGATCCGTCAGAAAACGGCCTACAATGGTCCAAGTCGACTTCGCCGCCGGTAGAGCTTGGACGCCGAACTCCTCATCCTCGAAGCGGATTCCCTGTTCTTCATCGTCCAGGGTGATGTCCGCTGTGTGTGTTATGATATCCTGCACGTCCATCGGAGATCAGCAGCACTTCGCCGTTCGTCGTCAACCTTCGCATGCACTCTTTGCCGAAACCCTAGATCGCAGGGGGGAAGATAGGGAAACCCTAGGTCGCAAGGAGATAAATCGCTATGCCTAATTTTTTGTATCTCCAAAGAAATACACTATTAGTTATTCATAATCTAATTTTCTAATATTTAAAATTATATTAAAGTTTCTATTAAATAGAAAATTTGAAAATTATAAAAGGATATGATGAACAACAAACTAAACCCTAGCTAGCTAGCTATATATGGGATCAATGGATCATCCTTTGGTTGTTGGGATAGGCTCATAGGCATCAATGACTAATTAAATACGAATACCCTTTTATAACCCAAAGGGTCAATGTTTTGTTCAGCTAGACTTATTCAAAACTGCATCATCTCTCAACAAATGCATGCAATCACATACAGGTATATAATAACTCATACGGTGTGGATGAAATAATGAGTTTCTTCCCATTTATCAAGCTATCCAATGATCTTGTAGTCTAGTGATACGAAGTGATTTTTCCAAACAAGAGATTATGTGTTCAATCTCTAGTTGACTCTTTATGTTTCAATAGTTTGAGAAAGAAGTTATGAAAATTATCAAACTAAGTTTAAAATAGACTAAAATTTATCTATGTATTTCCAATATAAGACTTTCCCGTATAATATATATTATATATTATGGGTCTTACTTATGTGTGCAAGTGGACTAGGCCTATTAAGTAATTGGTTGGACTGGACATTTAGGTTTAAGTCTGTATTCCACCAATGTGCCTATATAAAGTCTGTATTGATGGGATACAATATACATTAAATGGTACTCATACTGCTAGAAAATATCAATACACCATTTAGGATTCTGAGTTGAGTATGAGACAAAACGACTAACCATATTCTGCAAATCTACTGTTCAAGAGGCAATAAAACAGGATATCAACCATGGCTAAAGATCTACTATGCTTCCGTTTCCGCTACTACGAGTTAAGCTTCCCATAGATTATGCTCTACATAGTTGGATCATATTTATGCAACACTCAAAAAACTAAAAGTAACATATGTTAGATTTGAAAATGATACATTTTTAATAATTATAAAATCAAATCTAGTTAATGTTAACGAAAAAAAAAACAAAAATAAAATATTATAATGATGGAGAAATTAAATTGAAATTTACTCGAACTCGCCTTACCCCACGTACTCCCAATTTGAGGCAGAAGCCTGAATGGCTAATTTTAACAATTTGTCATTGAAGTAGCTGCGAGTTTCCAGACCTTGTCACTTGAAAATAAAAATTATTTTGCCATTGAAAAGTAAAATTAGTTCTTACACACGTATAAGAAAATAAAATTACGTTACATTTTTTTTTTAGTTAGAATTTTTTAATTTAGTGGTAAGCACAATATCAAAGTAGGTTACAAATTCAAATTCTTTTATTCAAACCATATATAATAACTTATTTTTCAATCAATGTACTAATGTTAGTCAAATCATTCTTTTAATATCTACACTTGGAGGTCACTATCCCAACAAACCTTTATAGTGGGACTTTTTCCATGCTTTGAACATTACATCGTGCGAGCACCTTTTCAAGACTAAACACACTTTAATTTGACCTAAAAAATATACTTCACTACCAAATACTAATATAATGTTACAGATTTTGATATTATAATAATTTATTTTCAATACTTGATGGTATCACATCTAAGTTATAGTTCGATAATACCGATATAATTCAAATCACATAATATCAAAAGCTAGTCATAACATATGATTTTTTTTATTTTAAATGCTTCAAAATAGGTGATCGAGCTGGTGGAATATGATTTGTGTTGTGTACTAGAAGGTAATGAATTCCTTTCCTACCAATACCCTCTTAGTTGAATTTGTTGCACCGAATCTTCCTAGTACCATTTGCGTACCTCTTCAAACAAAAACGACACAACCCAACCTAAAATAGGTTAAGAGATTTTGTTTTACTAGCAGCTCCATGGGTTAGGGTTTGAATCCTACCACGAACCAAAAAGGAGATGAATTTAGTCTTACTTTGGTTTCTAGTATACAAGCTTTTGGGACATGTAAGTCATCCAATTAATACATATCTCACGATTTACCGCCTCCACCAGTCTCCATGACAGAAGCTTTTCAAAATATCGCAACTAGCAAGTGTGCACTACAATTTAGAAGTAATATTGACTGTGGCCTGTAGAGTTATTCTGGGGGTATTAGAAAGAAAATAATAAAAACAGGCAAGTGGAGGTAATTGGGTCCTCGGTGGTTGGAGATTCTTTGGTAGGACAGAGACATGGTGGAACTTTAACCTAGGATTTCAACGTTAAATATGTATTAAGGCTGCTGGCGGGCAGTCTGGCGAAGTGTTTGTGTTGGTCCAATGTGGTGGGAACTATTAGTTTAAACATGAATCTCCAGACTGCACTGCACATTTCTTTTTCATTGTATATAATGCCAATTGCCATGCCTACAAATCTACAGTTGCGCTATCTAGCTGCCATGCCAACCCTAATTAAGCTAATTGATCATATCATATGCATTAATTTTGTTGTTTTCAATGGACAACTGTACTGGACGGAGAATCTCTGTTTATTCTCTTTGTTTGAATTGTACTTTGCGGCTGCTTTTTCCCATGTTAACAACCCACCATAGGACATGGTTTGTCCAAGGTAAGTCGCATCACATGACGAGTAATAAAGATTGATATGATAGGATGCCTCCTAGGAACTTTGAAGAGGTATGTAGATGGCCTGATCGGAATATTATGCATGCTTATTAGCTTGTTAGTTTAATTTGGTAAACTGTACTGTAGTGATGCATGCTATGATTGCTTTTGTTGATAAATTAAACCCTAATTCTGGCTATGTTCATTGAACCTAGCTCTTGTTTTCACTTTTAAGTGGCTTAATTTGAATGAGTGGTTTAAGCATTAGTCATGGGAGTTCAAGTATAAAGCTGTTCTAATTTGACTTTGACATCATTTTTACTGTATATGAGTTTTTCGGTCAGCTTTGTCACTTGGTTAATGACATCGGTGTACAAGCCATTCAATTCAGTATAGGATTGAAGCACTATCAATCACTCGGTAATATTTAAAACATCCAAATCTAAACACGTGATCGAATCACTAAAAGATAAATTAGACAGTTATCTCCAACTCCAATAGATTCTCTTTAACTTTGGTTCCAAAGCCACAACCATCCAATAGCTAAGCTTGGTTATGACTAGTAGATTCTCTTTTTATGTATAAATATTTATTCTTTGTTTTGAAAATGGGTATGAAACTACGAATTCATGAATACACACACTACTTGACTCCTAAATCACCCAAAGTGATTCGGACCACTTCAATCTTTATTCAAACACTTTCCAGTTTTCCTGGCAAATTATGCTGTGGATCTGTATGCACCATGCATGGTGCATATAGATCCACACGACGTCGTTTTAGCCTAATGACGCGGGGTTTTATAAAAATAAAAAAAAAAATTCGTTAACGGCGTTTACTTCCAAATTCCTTTTGAGTTTGTTTCCAAGTTTCAAACTCGATCGTTGGCAGTTGTTCGCTGTGGTATTGGCATTCGATATCACCGGAATCGCGATCGCAATCGCAAATCGAAATCGGAGTGGGGATCGGGAATTACAAAGTGATTGCTAGATGGAGGATGGAACAGAGCAGACGAATTCCGCAGTTGGTGATTGGCATTCGATTCAAGGTGATCTTGTTATTGTTTTTGCAATTGTTCCTTTTGGTTTTCACCATATTTGAACAATGTCTCTCTATAATACAATAAATAAATAAATAAATATAAGAACATAAATTAATGAATAAAATTTAAGTAAAATAGGTGGATGGAAACATACCCTCCCGGGTGCTCACTCGAGGCTTCCAAAAATGCATAGTTTGAAAAAACCTTTTCTTTGGGAGTTGCATTATTGATGGAACCTTTGTTCTTATTCCAATATGGTGACCTCAAATGAAGCGGGATGTTCCTGAATTTGCGCACAGGTCTCTTTCTCACAGTAACATCCTCAACATCAGATTCACTTTCATCCATAGCCCTGTTGTCCAGAAAAAAACAGAGGCAGTTCATAACCCCACAAGTATAATTCCAGAATTGTATAACTACATTTCCATAATCTATAAACTATATGTCCATAATTTGAGAAATACATATCCATAATTGTAAAGAAATCAACGTCAATAGTTGAATAAGAATATATTCATATTAATCAAACTTAATATTCATAATTATTGATGAATTGAAAACCATATTCATAGTCTAAATATGAATAAGAAAGCAGTAACCTACTTATCAAATTCATCAATCTCAGAAGCAGTTTGGGCAGCAGGGGTAGTAGGAGTGGTGGATTTTTCGAATGGCACTCTGATTAGTAATGGAGTTGCTTCCTTCTCTGTTGAGGTTGATACTCCTGCACTCCTCACAATGTTATCCACCAAGGTGTCCAAAGGCTGCTGTTGAGATGGTGGTGGGGTTGGTGTAGAGCGTCCAAGTAGCTCAAACGATGGGACTTCTATTTCCATTTCCTTTCTTATTTTTTCAAAAGCTGCTACCAGAGAATCAACTGCTGATGTGAAGCTTTCACTTCCGAAGAAGATGTCATCCAATTGCGAGGCAGTTGGGCTAGGAGTCGGTTGAATTGTGCTTGCAGCATTCAGCATTGTTGATATTCCTGAAAAAGCCCTCTTCATGATTTCAACCGGGGCCCCTTGCTTGCCAATGTCATACATGACCTGACCGAACTCAAGGACATCTGCTGTAAGCTGTTGAAGCACATTTGTTACTCGGTCAACATTTGTCAGAGGCACAGATGGAGCTGGAATAGTTGGTGTAGCAGCAGGGCTGGACACTGGCCTTGGTATTGCAGCAGGAGGAGGTGCAGGTCGGGGTGATGATGTAGATGCAATGGCAGTAGGTCTCTGAAATCGAGGGATAACTTTGCCCTTACCAA